AAATCACTACGACACAAGGACTTAGTCTACTTAACCAGTGACAAAGGGTCTGAATTTTGCGTCATCGACAAGACCTCTTATAAAGAAGCAGCACACGCCCACCTACACGGATGTCAAGCGGATGTCAGCCAAAACCATCGAAGGAAAAGTCAATACTGTCTGGAAGGGTATCTGCGAGGAGAGAAACATCCCGAAACACATAAAAAAGAGCTTCATTTCGTCAAACACTGACCTACCAGTGTTTTACCATCGAATAAAAACCCACAAACCCAAGGAGCAAGGATTAAAAATCAGGCCCATAATATCTAATGTCAATGGACCAACCACCAGGATTTCATGGCTGCTCGCACGCCTACTCAAGCCCCTCCTTCAACAGGTACCTGCACACCTCGAAAGCAGTCTACAACTCATTGACGCCATCACGTGACACCACCGAAAACCTCAATTTTCCTTACCCTTTCAGCCTAGACGTCGTGGCACTATACACATCTATCCCAGTCCAGGAAGCCATCAAGAATGTATCTGATAGAATGGGAACTTCCATCAACCATTATACTAACGCCAACATCGTAGACCTACTGACCATCGCCACTCAAAATGTTTATTTCACTTTTGGCCCACACATCTATCAGCAGAAGAAAGGCCTCCCTATGCGCTCAAGCTTCTCGGGGATACTAGCCATCCTCTTTATGGACACACTGGAACGGCAATCCMTCTCAGCCTGCACCTATATTAGCCAATATAGCAGGTACGTCGACGATGTTTACGCCCAAACCAGGGACGAGGAACATGCAGACAGGTTCCATGCGATAATGAGATCACAACACAACAACATTGACTTTGAGATAGAGAAACCCACCAAAACACCTGATGGCCACTCCCTCTCACTACTTGACTTCGCCGTGTCAGTAACTAATGACGGTTCGACCAATTTCGACTTCTACAAGAAGAAGGCAAAGAAACCGCTACTTGTTAATTATCGATCATGGCTCCCCAGATCATCCAAAGTCAACTTCATCATGAATGAAAGAAAACGGATAAAGCAAAGATGTACATCTACGAACACCGCCACACAACGAAACTTGGAATTTGACGAAATCCTGAAGGGAAACGGATATCCACCAAACTTCATCAACGAAACCAAACTTGAAGCCAAGCAAAGAACCGTGGAACAACACCACCCCAACGACACTAACCCAGACAAATGGCTTTATTTCAGCATCCCTTACATATCAGATAGTCTCGATAGACGACTCAAGAATATCTTTCGGAAGGAGGGTCTCAACGTAAGAATTATACACAAATCACAAACTATGTGCAACGCTCTCAAACGTCCGGTTGAAAGATATACATGCAAAATCGACAACTGTCCTGTAGCTGAATCAAAGAAGTGTTTCCAACGCGGAGTAGTATATGAAATCACATGCGCAAAATGTGGATCCACAT